TTTCTTTCTTTCTTTCTTTCTTTCTTTCTTTCTTTCTTTCTTTCTTTTTCTTTCTTTCTTTCTTTCTTTTCTTCTTCTTTCTTTCTTTCTTTTTTCTTTCTCCTTCCTTCCTTCCTTCCTTCCTTCCTTCCTTCCTTCCTTCCTTCTTTCTTTTTCTCTTTTTCTTTCCATAAAATTGGTTTTAAAAAAAAAAGCATAGCCTGCTCTCTTACAGAGCCCAGGACCACCATCCCAGGAATGGCACCACCCCCCATGGGCTGAGCCCTCCCCCACTGATTAGTAATTGAGAAAATGCCTTACAGCTGGATCTCGTGGAGGCATTTTCTCAACTGAGGCTCCTTCCTTTCTGATGACTCTATGTCAAGTTGACACACAAAACCCTCTGGTATATCGACACCTGTGATTTGTCCAGGTTGAATTAGATGAAGGGAAGAAAAAGGAAGGGTTAAAAAAATTCCTGCGTGATGTATAAAGGTGAGACATAGAATAAGCTGGTGTCTGTCCTCCTAAAATATGGCTGACTGTTTTTTGGTCTTCTGACACTGGAGTCCACTGAGGTCATCGCCATTGTCTTCTCCTCCTCCTTATCCTCCTACTCTTTCTCCTTGTTCTCTTTCTCTTCCTTCTCCTCCTTCTCCTTTTTTTTGTTTTTCAGTATGGGGAATTGAACCTAGGGCCTCACACATGCTAGGCTAGCACTCTACCATAGAGTGGTCTTTGCTTATTCCTATTAATTTTTATTTCCTTTTTATTTTTGAGATAAGTTCTTATTCAGTTACGCAGACCGGCCTTGAACTTAACTCATGACCCTCCTTCCTCGGCCTCTTGAGTGGCTGAGATTGAAGGCCTGAGCCACCACAAGCAGGTTCTTTCCTTCTTTGAACTAGTTTGTGGAAATCTTGACACTTTTGTTTTAATTGCTGGGGGATATTTTGTTCTAAAGAAGCTCAGAGACTTTTGACTGTCTCCATTGATTGGCAGCTCTTAACCCCTCTTTCAGCTCCTGTGCAATCAGAGTGCACACCTCCTTTTCTTCTCCACACGGTCCCACCTGGCCTGAAGTTGTTTTGGTCTGTATAGAACACACCTTTGTTGATTTATACACTCTGTAAGTTCAGTGGAGGGAAATTCTTAATGCCTTCTTTGCTTCAGCATTCCGGTGGTGCAGACCAGCCCCAACACAGCATATGCTCCTTTCTCTTTCTTTCTTCCTTTCTTTCTTTCTTTCTTTCTTTCTTTCTTTCTTTCTTTCTTTCTTTCTCCTTCTATTTTTTGAGACAGGGTTTCTCTGTGTAGCCTTGGTTGCCCTGGAACTCTCTCTGTAGTCCAGACTGGTCTAGAGCTCCAAGATCCAACTGCCCTCTGCCTTCCGAGTTCTGGAATTAAAGGTGTGCACCAACATAGCATATACTCTTAGCCCTGTTGTTCCTTGTAGTTTGTCAGTTATTAAAACTCCCTTTCGTTTTCCAAGTGCTCCAAGAACACACACACACACACACACACACACTCACACTCACACACCCACGAATAAATATGTAAATACAACCTGCTGCATCTATTTAGTGTTGCTTCTATGTACAAGTCTTCAAGGCTGACCACTTGGTATTAGATAAAGCAATTTTGGGAGGGGCTCATCCCTAGGGAAGACTAATTCTCCCTCTCTCAGCAGTTGCTGGTTGCCTATAGCTTTTTGTCTAGAAGTGGGGGCCCTTGAGATTTCCCCTTCCATGTTATCACGTCTGTTAGTGCTGTCATCGTTTGAGTCTTATTTAGGCAGCCATGTTGCTGCAGTATGGTGAGTCTAGCATCTCTGTCATTTCTAGGAGATCTAGTCTTCTAGCAGACTTCCCATTTTTCTGGCTCTTAGCACCCTTTCTGCTCCCTCTTTTGGGATGTTCCCTGAACCTTAGATGCAGGAGTTGTACTGCAGATGTATCCGTTAGGATCAGGCCACTTTGTTCAGCATTGGCGATTCAGCCTGGAGACTGGTCTGTGCTCATCAAGTGCCCCTGCTACTGGTCTGCATCCCAGACCTAGAAAACAATTTGTCAGCATAGAGAGATTTGTTTTATGTTAAGAAGTGAACTGCAACTTTCTTTAAGGTTAAGTAATACGAACCAGGTGTGGTGCTGTGGGACACAAAGGGAAGGAGCACCCCTGGTTTTAGGTTACATACATCTATCATCTGTTCCAGGCTGTCTTTGGCTACACAAAGAGAGATCCCGACTCAAAACAAAACAAAAAAACAAACTAAAAAAAACAAAAACAAAAAACAAAACAACTTAAAACAGACACTTCAGTTGTGATTTCTAGGAAAGCTGCTGTTTTATCATTGAAGCTCTGTTTCTATGACAAATATAGACGATTAGATTTAGAGAGCACGATCTTTAGTGAAGTTACTTAGCTATTTTACCAAGGTTTTTTGTTATTTAGAATTTGTAGTTAGAATTCTGGGTTGGAGAATGATATATTAGGAGACCTGTTTTCTTGTGAGTCTTGAAAAAGGGATTAATTAATGATATCTGTTAAACTAGGGCAGGATGTATTGATTTAAACGTTACAGTAGAAAAATACTTCCAGGAATTAGAAGGTGGAATATGTTGGTTCATGATAACTTTGTCCTCTTATATATTTGTAAATAATTTTTATTATGAGTAATTTCATTTTTTTCTGTTTTTTAAAGAACTGTATTCAAAACAAACTTGAAGTCATTTTCTGTTAGTTTGATATGTGTTGTTATGGCTTTATAAATTTATGAACTCTTCAACCTAATTTTTGTTTTGCAAATGATGAAAATCAGATGAGACAACTTGTTTAAATGACTTGTAATTATTTTCATATGAACAAATTAGTAAGAAAACTCCATTTCACAAACCTGATATTGCAGCTGACTAAAAGCAAATGTCCACAGATGAAAATACATAGTTTTGATCCTTTATCCATTATAAATGTAATTCAACATTAATTTTCTAAAATTTTTTTTTTTTTTTGCAAATAAGAGGATAAAATAAACTAACTCATCTTTGGTTTTTGTCTTTTCTTCCCAATAGGATCAGCATTATTATCAATCTTTCCAGGTCTCAGAATATGGTAAGAGTTCTTCTTCAATTTATTTTGAAGGAAAAAAAAATGTCCATTTATTACTTTCTATAGAGATGAGACATTTTCAAGAGACATGGTATTTAAAATAGAAATCCCAAGAGAGAGAAAACTTTAGTATTCCTTGTAGGATTGAACATATATTTCCTCTGCAAATGTTCTGAAATTACAGTATGAAGAAAAACAAGGCAATATCTAATGCTCAACAATGTTAGTTTTTTTATGATAAATTTTCTTTTTCTGTTTTTTTTTATTTACTTACTTTTATTTTATGTGCACGGATGTTTTACCTGTCATGTATGTCTGTGCGCTGCATGCGTGCACATGAAGAAGGTGTCAATTGCCATGGAATTGGAATCTCAGATGGTTGTGAGCTACCATGTGGTGTTTCCAATCAACCCTGGGAAGGCAGTCAGTGCTTTTAAGTGCTGGTCATCTCTCTAGCCTTGCTTTTTTTTTCAGAGAGGGTCTCTTCATGCAGTGCTGTCTGGAACTTGCTTTGCAGACCAGGCTAGCTTCAAATTTGTGGTTTTCTTCTCACCCCAGCCTCCCAAGTACCTGGCTTCCTGCTTCCTGTACTGCCGTACTTGTAAAATGTTAATTTTTTGACTCTCTGAAAACCGAACATTGGAGCTGGGGACACGGTTCAGTAGAGAGCATGGGCAAAGCCCTGGGTTCGGTTCCCAGGGCCACAAAACCCCAACTGCCAATTTTGCTGTCAGTTACCTTCTGTGTATCTTTATCTGTCAACGCAGGGAAGACAGGGTGCTTCTCTCAGGTACATCTTCATCGTGGAGAGGGCACATTGCATTTATAAGTGCACACGGGAAAGCAGTAGGTGTGGCTGTTCTCGGTGGATAGAGGACGCAGAGGGGAGCAAAAGCCCAAGACCTGTGGCTTCAAGCTTACAGATGAGCCCTTTAATTTGATTTACATTAACATCTTATGATCACTTTATAATTTAGGCAAAAGAATTCTGAAACACAGTTTGTTACATCTTTGTGATTCCAGCTCCTCTATCTGCAACAGTATTTTCTTCTTCTTCTTCTCCTCATCCTCCTTGTTTTTTGAGACAGGGGTTTCTTCGTGTAATAGCCCTGGCTGTCCTGGACTCACTGTGTAGAACAGGCTGGCCTTAGACTCACAGAGATCCACCTGCTTCTGCCTCCTTGAGCTCTGGGATTGAAGGCGTGCACCACCATGCCTGGCTTCCCCCAGTATTTTCACATCCATACGTCATGGCCTGCAACAGTGAAGCATTTTCCTGTAATGGGACTGAAAGTGGCATTATGGACTCTGTAGGCCATAGGTTTCTGCCGTAACAGTTCATCGTCGTCTCTGTAGAATGATAGTGGACACAGTATGTAAGCAAATTCTGCTGTCATGCAGTAAGCTTATGCATTACAACACATTTCTCTCTTGTATGTTCCAACCAGTTATAATTAGTAAAAGCCACTCTTAGCTTATACTGCCCGTACTGTTCGGCACCCCTTGCCTGGAACTGTGTGTGTCACCCAGAGCCCCTCATCCTACTCAGGTGTATAGTCTTTGACATGTATCTGGTCTCAGTAAAGATGTTTTATACATGTAAAAGTCATACCAGATTTCCAATATTTAGTACAAGAAAAAGAAAGTTGTTTAACAGTAAGTTTTAAATTTTGACTAAATATTAAAATAATAAGATTTTAGACAGGTTAAGAAAAATGTTACAAAACTGATTTTTTAAAATTAATTTTTTTTATTAATTGCAGTTTATTCATTTTGTATCCCAGCTGTAGCCCCCTCCCTCAACCCCATCCCCCTCCCTCCCTTATTTCCTCCCATGACCCCCCCCTTCCTTCTGATCCTACTCTATCAGGTCTCATCAGGACTGGACGCATTGTCTTCCTCTGTGGCCTGGTAAGGCTGCTCCCTCCTCACAGGGAGGTGATCAAAGAGCAGGCCAATCAGTTCATGTCAGAGACAGTCCCTGTTCCCATTACTATGGAACCCACTTGGAGACTGAGCTGCCATGGGCTACATCTGTGCAGGGGTTCTAGGTTATCTCCATGCATGGTCCTTGGTTGGAGTATCAGTCTCAGAAAATACCAGATTATTTGGTTCTGTTGTTCTCCTTGTGGAGCTCCTGTCCCATCTGCTGTTTCTTTTCTAAAGATGTGATCACTAGAAATGAAAAGTTAAACATGTGGCTCACATCTTATTCCCTTTGGTCAATGCTCTACCGAAATCAGCGGGAAGTGTAACCGAGGGGTGTTCCCTGGGCTTCAGTTCCTGAAATAATGACCCTGAGACTGTATTATTTATGAATAAATGTCTAGGCCATAAGCTTTGGCTTCTTCCTTGACTAGCTCCTAACTTAAATTACCAGTTTATTCCATTCTACATGGCTGGATACCTTTCCTCAGTTTCAGGACTCCTTCCTTCTCGGAGTCCCGGGCGACACTCCCCACCTCTGTCTATCGTCTATGCCAGAGTTTCCTCCCTCTTTGCTGGAACTTCCCCCTCTTTATTTCCTGCCTCGTCTAATAGGCCATTAGCTTTTTATTGACAGGTGGTGCTTCCACAGAGACACAAGAAATTCCTTCTGCAAGGAAACCTTCCATCCCACTATTTTTTTTTTTTTTTTTTTTTTTTGAGAAAGAATCTTAATGTGTAGCTTCTGCTCCTTGGAACTTGCTAAGTAGATTAGGTTGGCTTCGAACTCACAGAGATCCACTTGTCTCTGCTAGGATTAAAGAGGTGAGCCACTGGGGCCGGCAGGAGCAAAATTCTTGTTTGTTGTTTTCCTATTTCACTGTATTGGTGCTGGGTGTTGACACAGCCTTGACGAGGTACAGTTGTGGGTGATTGGTGGGCAAAATGCAATATTTGAAGAGAGAGTTTTTGGATTTCTTTGGAGAGGGGTGTGTGTGTGTCTCATAGATCCCCTATGTGAGTGTTTTGAAACTTTCTCCTAGACTGGTTTAGAGTTTAGCATTGTCTTTGCACATTCGGTGCCTTTGGCCCCATAGGTTTGGATTATATTACTGATTTATCAGTCTTTTTGATATTTATCTATTTGATATGTAAATTGCATGGTGAGGTCCCTTATAGGAGTCTCATCTGTTTCTTTGATCAGTGACATTATAAAAACATTTCTATAGGCTCAAACCAAAAGTACAAACATTTTTCCTGTGGTAGAATACTTTATTTAAAGTGGCATTAATTGTAAAACATTTTTATGGGAGCTGTAGAAATGGTTCTGCGGTCAAGAATGCTTCTTCTCTTGTAGAGGACCAAGGTTTGGTTCCCAGCACCCACATGATGGCTCATAAACAGGTATAACTCCAGCTCACGGGGCTCCCCTTTCTCATTTCCACAGGCTCCACAGATGCCTGCACATGTGGAGTGAACATACATACTCTCAGGCTCTCACACACACATGCAAAATGGATAAGTAAGCAAGTAAAAGTGAACAACAAAAACCGTTTCATTATTTATAAAGTGACCTAAGTAAGGATTTCTGAGTTACACAAAACACCTTTCAGTTATGTTAGTAGGTGTGTGGTCCTAATAAATGTAAGCTCAAGAAATACCAATTAGCAACTGATTAGAACAGTTCTTCATTTTTATTTGGTTCAGCTAGAGAGGCTGGTAAAATAGATTCCTTAAAAGATTGCTTTTCTTTTGCAGTGCTACCAAAGTTCGAGGTCACTTTGCAGACGCCGTTATATTGTTCATTGAACGCCAAGAATTTAAGTGGCACCGTCACCGCAAAGTAAGTTGCATTTGTCTTTTGGTATGTCTCTAGGCCGTTGTGAAACAGTATGACAAAAAGCTTTTCATACGTGCATAAGAATACTAGCGCAAGGTTTTGCTTTTAAAAAAGTCTCTAATGCTTTCATGTAGCACAGGACAGATGTCCACAAAGTCTTGACATCTGTAACTCTACTTCCAGCCGCCGCTCCTAAAATATTTCCCACATAACAGCGACTAAGGAGGTTATAGAATGCACTGTCACGTTTCTGAAACATTGTGTATTTAGGGACTGGGGAAATGGCTCAGATTGGGAAAAAATTAACCACTGAGTCATTTCTCTGTAGCCCCTGGTTCACGTTTAAACTAAAAGTAAAAGAAAATAGCCCATGAGAATACATTAAATTATTATTTTAAAGTACACTGAACTACCATATGGAACACCATTTAACAATATAATAATCCTGGCATTCTGGTTTGGCCTTTACTTACATGTGACAAGACACAGCCCATGTTAGGCGCTGTGGTTTCCCGCCAGGTCCCCCACTAACTTTACTCTGCCTGTTTGGAAGGTTGGTATATTTGAAAGTGCATTTTTTTTCTTTCTCTTAATTTGGAAAATTCTAAATTTGCTTTGGAGTTGGCCCAGAGGAGAGGTTACTTCCGTGTCTAATTGACAGATTCAGGAAACATCAGCTTACTATTACAATTTGTAAGATGCAAAGCAAAACTGGCTTAAAGGGTTGGCCCAGGGTTTGAAATAGAGATGGGAGGAACCCAGGACACATGTTTTAAAAAGACTTTCTGGCAGTGGAATAATTTACTGAGGATCGCCATTCCTTTCCATGAAGAAATGTCGCATTACGAGAGGATGTAATTAAGGGAATAAAATTAAAACTGTGAAATGGCAGAGAATGTGTTTTGATGCAAGCAGATGAGTTTTAAACGGTAGTTAAAAAATATTACTTAAAGTTGCTTTGCTGAAAAACAAACTCAGTGTTTTGGGTAGCTGTATGTGTATTTGGTCCTCTGTAGTGTAAGATCTGATCTCCCTCCTGGAGAATCTGGGAGGTGTGACAATTGGCTGTGTGACAATTGTTAATAACTTAAATTAACATGTAAACATTTTTACAGGCTGTGAAGTTTGCAGGTGCTGGCCAGTCCAAGTTTCTAGAGATTTTCATAGTCTTGTAGAACTCATTGTCCGAGAAACCGTGCCTTTCTATAATGCTCGTCTGCCCTCCGCGTCCTCTCAGTGGGCGGAGGCCACTGACAGCTGGTGTTGGGACTGATTTTAGACGCTCTAATTCAGTGTTTCATTTGGAGACCTTATCTGAAGAGTCGCTATTTGTTAAGAACATTCTTCATTCTTGCTGTGTTTGTTGTTTTATGTTTTCTTGAGCCAGATCTTTGAGAAGTAGCTCAAGCATCCCTGAAATTTGTCTTGTCTCAGCCTCCAGACTGCTGGGATGACAGTGCTAACATGACTGGCTTGTGTCTTTTTTTTTTTTAATTGTAGGAGAGGTGAGCTTTTAATGCAAGCTTTTCTGTTGAATTGCTAAAGTATGCCTATTGAAAATGATATTTTTAGAGAACCATAGACACTATGCTCTGCTCTCACAGGCTCTAATTTATAGTTCTACCTAGAACCTGGATAATTCCTGCTTTTTGCCACATAAGCATGGTGTACTCAGGTTTCACAATTTAACCTTTATTCTAGTGTATTTTTGTAGCTCTAGTGCCATTTTTCCTTTCTATACACTCATTATCCCCTTTTAGAATGGATACACATATGATGGACACATATGATGGGTACAAAATCTGTAAGACCATGAGAACTCCTGGAGATGGATTAAATTAAGTATTGATTATGAAAAAAAAAAAGAAAATGATATTTTTGTTGTGTTCCTCTGACACCATTGGGTTGAAAATGTAATAATACAATATTTTAAAAATTGTTTTCAGGTATACATATGGAAAGCCAGTGAAGGGATATGTAACACTTACATTTTTGCCTGTATCTTTTTGGGGAGAGAAGAAAACTATCACAAAAAACTTTGAGGTAACTTTTGCAGATATTTTGTAATCTACAATGGGGACATTTTAAATTTTGATTAAGAAATAGTTCTAGCATCCAGATGGGTGTGGTGACACACACCTATTATTTCAGCCCTTGGGGAGGTGGAGAAAGGAGGATCTGTAGTTCAAGACCAGCCTCTCTCATCTAGCAAATCTGAGGCCAGCCGGTGCTTTGTGAGCTCAAACATTGCCAATGAACAAAAACCAGAAATTGATTAGGGGAACAACAGGAGAACGCAGTACTACTTGAAAGTTTATACCCATTTTCAATGTAATGTGATACAGAGGGCATAAAAAATTGTGACTCAGATCACAGTGTGGAAATTTTAATTTTTTTTTAAATAAAGTTTTGTACAGAATTACTAAAATAAGACAAGAAAATTAAGAGCGTCCTAGCATTAGATGAGTGAATAAAGTGAGCCAGAACTGTCAGGTGAGACTTAGTTTGAGTTTTGTTTCTAGAATGTGAATTCCTAAAGTGAAAAGTAAAATGAAATTTTTAAACAAAACAGATAAATGGATCCAGAAACTTCTCTTTTGATGATAAAGAGATGAAAAAGGTGATGGATTTGTCGGATGGGAGTTCCGAACACATGGACCCATCCATCCCTGGGCCCATAGAGATCGTAGCCACTGTGACGGAATCACTCACAGGTTTGTGGCTTTAGTGAAGGTAGCCTCCTTCGCCGTCTGTTACCCACTAACCGTGCCAGCACTCTCAGGGGAGGGGGTTCACTGCTTTTCCAGGGAAGGGGTTTAATGTTGAAAACATGTAGAGTTTCTAGGACGCTTTCTGTGAAACCTGTACTCCAACTACATATGATAACAGTGGCTTTCACATCCCCTACCCCGTTTAAACTGTTTTTCCAGCCTGAAAAACAACACAGGAGGCCTGCATTTTCAGCAAACCTGCTTCCTCCCCTTTCTTTTATCCTTCATGACTTATCCTCTGACATTTCACCTCTTTCGCAGACAGTTTACTCCTTTAATAAGAATGTAAGAGTTAGCGGTTTGGAGCCTTCTGTTACTGTTTCAACAGATCAATTCAGCTGACCCAACAAACAAAACCTATCCTGTCTGTGCTTTCTTCTCCTGGTGTATAAGCCACCGAGGGAGAATAGCATGCTAAAATTCTGTGTTTCTGTTTGGGGTCATAGTCAGTAATGGAAGTAGGCTTCTGTGCCCTGATATCTTCAGTCCCTTCAGCAGGAAGCTTAGGTGGATACAAGCCAAAGGTGAAATACTCCCTTTACAGTCTAAACGATGCAACCCTCTTGCAGGTATCTCAAGAAACGCAAGTACCAATGTGTTTTTCAAGCAACACGATTACATCATTGAGTTTTTTGATTATGCTACTGTCTTGAAGCCATCCCTCAACTTTACAGCCATTGTAAGTTGGTGTATTTATTTCTAGTCCATAATCACGAGTGTCGGTGAAATGAGTCAGAGTGGGAAATCATGTGCTCAGTGTCTTTAAAAGGAGACGGGTTACTTTTCCTCTTTAGAAATATGAATGTAGAGAATTGTTTCCAAATGAGCTTTGTCTTTTTTTTTTTAAAGGTGTTTATAAAAACAGCCAAATTTTTTCTTGAAATTTATTTAACTAGCTGTTAATTTGATATAGATTACAACATCGAAGCTCTTATTAATGAAGAAATGACAGTCACAATTTTTAGTTTAATGTTAATTTTTATAAGGACTAAATTTTAATTTTACCAAAGATATAGTATTAAAAATTATCTAGGACGTTCTCTTTTTTTCAGAGAGAATGTTGAATTAATTCTTAGTATTTGAGTTAACTGAAAAAAAATTAAAACTTCTAGGAAAAACCCAAAATGCTGTGTTTCTTTATGAAATTTTCATAAAGAAAATCTCGCTGCTCATATTTGTGCTCCACCCCTCAAGTGAAGTGAATTTTGACATCGTGCAGGGCACAATGGGCTTGGACAGCCTTATGAAGGTGAGGGAGACCTAGGAAGGGAGAGTTGGCTTTGGGGGTGGGAATGGAGGTTATTAAGGGTTGCCTCATGGAATAGGAAGCCTAGAATGAGGACAAGACCTGAGGCAGGGAGCAAGATGAGGTCATTAAAAAAGAGCTGTGGCTGGCAAGATCAGAGTGTATTCAGAAAAGTGACTGGACCTGGGCATTTGCAGCTGAGGACTTGGCTTGATTAAACAGGAGGCAAAGCTTAGGAAACTCTAGAAACCCTGAGCTTCAAAGGACCTCCTGGATGGGTTAGACTTTATGCTCTAGGCAGTGAGAAGACTTGGCGCCTGTGAGCACGGGTGGGGTGAGAGTGGGATAGAGCGTGTGTGTGTGTGTGTGTGTGTGTGTGTGTGTGTGTGTAGGTGGATGGGTAGGAGGGATGCAGTGTTTGAGGAGACCTGCTGAAGGACTGTGAGAAGAGGGAAGTAGTCCTGTGGTGGTGACTATGGGAGTGGAGAGGGAGGGCAGAGAAATGTGGATCTTGGTTCTCACTGAGTTTGGGAGCGGCTGTGGTGGATGTGTGTGCGTGGGGTGAGGTTGGCGGGCATATTGAGATTGCCAGTCTGTCAGGATTGTGGTGGTTAGTAAAAACAAAACAAAAACATACGATGTTTGCTTTCATATTAATGTGCAGAATTTGGAGTGATTGAGTATCAGAGGCTTCCGCAAATGGAGCAATTAAACATGAGCTCCAGGGTAAGGTGTAATCACAAAGAACAATGAAGCTAAGTCAGCCAGAGTGTTGGTTAAGTTTTGAACAAGAAAAATGAACAAGGAACCAACAGGGTTCCTTGACTTGTTACCAGACTTGGGGCCATAGCAAGTGACTCTGTAAGCCATGTTTGACCACCTGTCCTCAGATTAAAGCAGTCAAAGTAGCGGTGAAAACAAAAAGGTGATTTATTTTAATATGGCTACAGTAGGAAGAGGTACAATGAGATCCAGCGACTCCATCCCTCCAGGTCCGCTGTTGGGATCACAAAGTGAAGGCTTGAGTAGAGAGCAGTGTTAGGCATATCTAAACAGTCACAAGGTGAAGTAAGGCATGGTCCCTCTAACAGATGGCTCATCCCGGTCTCTCCTATAAGGTATCTAAAGAGCTGGAACTCTGGGAGAAAAGTTTCTCCTCTGGCTGATTCTGGCCTTTCTCTTCTTCCAGCATGAGATCCCTGTGTGTGTGTGTGGGGGTGCGGAATCCAATGATGTGTGTTTCTTATTTTAATAGTCTGATAGCCAAAGTGCAGGATATAAGTGCATTTACAAAAATCTTCATTCTTGCCAGACTGCTGACAATAGAACAGAAAGAGGGCTATGACGCAAGGAGCTGTGGGGGCCACGTGCCTCCTGGAGAAGGGTTCCTGCATGTGGATTGGGGAAGTTCAGCATTATGAGCTTGGTACAGACAGAAGCTACAATTAGCTGGGCTTAACTCTCTTGCTTTTTCTATTATCCGCCTTAAAATGTTTTGTTTTAACAATTAGGTGAAGGTCAGCCGCTCTGATGGCAATGAGCTGACCAAAGAAGAAAGAATAAATGACTTAGTCATAACGGTGACCCAGAGGAAAAATAGCAACATCTGGAGAAGGTGGTACAGTGAAGATCAGGAAACGGATGATGTCCAGAACATAAATTACACCATCCCTCAAAATGGAGTCTTGAGGATCGAATTCCCAATCCTGTACAATTCCAGCGAGCTACAGCTGAAGGTGCAACCTGGTTTCACGTCCACAGGGGCGGCATGACTGCTGTTGTCATTTTTGTGGGGGGACAGTTACTTCCTCAGAACTGAGAGAGCACAGGAAGTGGACACGTGTCTGCTTTACACATAGCGGAAGTCTTAGAAGTCATTTACCACTGTGGCCAAGGTCTGTTTTGGGTGCTTCCTTGTAATTTCATTTTAAGGGCCACAGAAAAAGATCGCAGTGTGAAGGTTTGATGGAGAGGCTCCTCAAGCCCTCATCTTCATTGATTTTCAGTTAGTTGAAGTCACCTTTCCTGAGCTTTCTCTCCCAGCATGGTCTGTCTGGGAATATCCCGTGATTCCTGCTGCCTTTCTTGTGGTTATCAGCCAAAGTCAGAGCCTTAACAGGGTAGGGAGCAACACAGGTGGGAGCCCTTTCCTCTGTGCTCTTCCTTTGTGAGATAGAGTCTCATCACACAGCCAGCCTGGCCTGGAGCTCACTGTGTAGGGTGAGCTGCCCTCAAACTCATGACCCTTCTGCCTTTGCCTCATGAATGCTGGGATTCATAGGTGTGTCCCACCATCCCTGACTGATTATTTTTTAAAAGGTTTTTCGAGACAGGGTTTCTCTGTATAACAGCTCTGACTGTCCTGGAACTCGTTTTATAGATCAGGCTGACCTCAAATTCACAGAGCTTCTGTTTCTGCCTCCTGAGTGCTGAGATTAAAGGCATGTGCCACTGCCCCAGGCTTGCTGGGGCTGATATTTTGACTCTTGACTTTGGAGGGTCAAGCAGGGTGTGATGTATCTAGCTTCTGCATGAGCTTTGTATGGGAAGAAGGAAAGGCTTTATTTCATGTTTAGTTTCATCTTCTGCTAGGATTTCTTAATAAGACAACTTTGTTTCTAAGTGAGGGCTATGTTTTTTTTTCTTTTGGCCTACAATGTCAAAACCCTTTTCTCATGTGCCAAACCTATCAAATTCTTTATAGTTTGACCTTTAAAATGAGGAGGAACTGATGTCTGGTGAAAGTGTTTCTGCATGAAAACAAGAATGAAAGAATCTGGCTTTCCATAATTACTCAGAACTCAGCATTTCTCCTCAAGTTACTCAAGTTGAACATTTATAGATTTTTTTTCTTTTGTTGCAGGCTTCTTTTCTTGATAGTGTAAGTTCTATGGCAGTTCACGGCATGTTCACCTCTCCTAGCAGGACATACATCCAGCTTAAAACCAGAGAGGACCATGTCAAGGTAACGCTGGTGACTCGCTTGAGCATTACAACATGATTTGATATCCTTAAAACTGGGGTGTACATATTAATTAATTTTTTTTTTCCTAGGTGGGATCACCTTTTGAATTGGTGGTTACTGGCAACAGGCAATTTGAGGACTTAAGCTATATGGTAATTTCTTTATTTTAAGGTGTTGTTAATTATTATATGTGTGTGCACATGTGTAACGGGCATTATAAACGCAGTCGCATGTGTCATGGCTTATATGTGGAGGTCAGGAAGAACTTTTGAGAGTTGGTTCTCTCCTTCGTCCACGGATTCCAAGGGTTAAACTGAGGTCACGAGGATTATGTAGCGAGCACCTGTACCTGCCTCGCTGCCTTGCAGGCTAATAGTGTCTTATAGTTTAAGTTTACGACCTGTTTATAACCACCTTGAGTGACATTTACCTTACATCTTCACCAGACTTGACTAACTTGTTACAAATTAGTCTGCTCTTTTTATTGTGTAATCAGTTTTCTCTCTTCAACTGTATTTAAAATAGATAATTAAATTTTTCACAAAGAGGAAAATGTAAGTTTCTGGTATACAGACAACATGGACCCATCGGCGAGAATTATGAAATGTAATAAAATTTGCCATCATGCTTTCATAGTTTTGCTAAGCCCTACCATTAGAGCTCTTTATTCTTTTTCTGTGAAATAATAGGTTCAACGTGAAGAAATGGTCAGTGCTAGCAAGTGCTTGCTCAGAAATGACGCTTATCTGACACACTGAACTCCATGCTGGGCTGGTGATGGCTCAGTTGAGAGTATGTACTGCCGCACCAAAGACCCAAGTCCAGTGTGGAGCATACCTGTTGGGTAGCTCCCAGCCACCTATAACTTCAGCTCCAGGGGATTTGAGGAATCTGACTTCTGTGGGCACCTGTATTTAAATATACAAACCCTTATACAGAAACAGACATAGACACATAATTTAAAAATTACAAAACATTAGTGTAACGTGTTAATATAAAAATTTCACTCGTCTCAATAGATGCAGAAAAAGTTTTGACATCCACACGTTAAAAGTATTTAACAATGTGTTATTGGTAGGAATCACTCAATTTGACCAAGGACAATAGTAATAAAAAGTACTGCTGTACTGAAAAAAAGAAATGTTCAATGTATGAGGGTCTAGATAGACGAGTTACCTTATTAGTCATTATACATTGCACATGCACTGAAATGTTGCAGTGTATTCCTTAAACATGTATAGATATTATGTGTCAATTGAAAATTAAAAGTACAAAAAAGAAAGGAACATTGAGAATTAAAAATAAGATTTGTAAAGGATGACATGAATGTTACTGCAAGCTAGTATTTGCTTTAATGTTATTTTTTTCAATGTATGTCGATTTTTTTTGTCAACTATCATTTATTTTTCATTGATTCAACTGATGGTCTTAACAATCACAATATCTATTTTTTTGTTGAAATTTAACTCCTATCTCAAGATTTACCATGGAGAGTTTTTGCATGTAAAAAGGCTGAGAAGAAGAATTTATATGTATCCTTAAATTTATTATAAATATAGCTTCAGTTGAAATATGACAATCTTTAGCAAATAATTACGCTCTTGTTTTTTTATTTTTAGGTAGTATCAAAGGGACAGTTGGTGGCTGTAGGCAAACAAAAGTCGAGAACTTTCTCTTTAACACCAGAAGCTTCCTGGGCTCCAAAAGCCTGTATAATTGTGTATTATGTTGCAGAAGACGGGGAAATTATAAACGATGTTATAAAAGTCCCCGTTCAGCTTGTTTTTAAAAATAAGGTAAGGATTTAGGCGATGGTGCTTAAAGCTTCCTTTTAGTGATATCTGAGAAATGTAATTTCTTTCTTTACAAAGGAATCAGCTATCCGCATTGCCTGGAAACTTGCATTATCCCTATATTCAGCAGATGTGCATTTTCATGCTAAGCTCTCCAGTTATTGTGTGTCAGCTGTGATCCCTGTCTTTAAGACTTTAACTCAGGTTCACTAAAGTCGCTTCAGTATTGTGTAAATAGTTGAGTCAATATTGCTCTGGCCTGGAATTCCAGTGGCAACACAGACCCGGGTGAGGGGTTGACCTGGGTGTGGCAATGAGACGGGTGTAGGGAGACAGGGAGGACTGTTGCAGCTGTGCGCGGAAGCAGAGCTGGGCTTTGGATTATCTACTCCATCACCTGGAAGCTGACGTGGACAAACTCCCAGCGATCCCAGTGCTCTTCTTTTTCGGGTTCTGTGCGGAGCCTTGTCTCTGGTGCATCAGTCCTGGGGTACTTTTCGCCCCAGTAACCACCTTGCACCGGAGAACACTTCAGCCCAGCTCAGAAGAAACCCAGCCTAGTCAGCTCACCGATGCCAGGATGAACTGTTGCTCTTGCTCAAGGCTGCTGCATTGATCTTTCTAAGAAGCAATTTCGGTGTCATGATCTGTAGAGTAGAGCCCTCTTACTATTTCCTTTAAAAATGGCTAAAATGTTGGGTTCATGCTTTCTCTTCCTTAAAATGGTTATTTTATTTTTATCTTTTTGTATGACAGAGTGAGTCTAGGCAAATGAACTGCACCCCAACCCTGAGTAACACTAACTTCCTCTAAGTATAATATAAACTTCTATTTTTTTTATCTTATGAAAAATTTTTAGAGACGTAACAATATGTTTTTTTTTTTTAGTGTCAGTCAAAAAAGTCACTTTATAATAATCGCCTGAAACAAGTTAATTTTAGGAGGGAGTTATGGAGGCTTATATAGGGAGACAGAGGGAGACATAGGGAGACAGACCTCTAGGGACAAATCTAAGATTGGTGTGTAAGATTAGCCACACTGGGGAAGCACAGGATAATAAAAGATGTCTCCAGGGAATATTTTTTTGGACAAATGAAATAGAAAACTTCAATTATATTTTCAAAAAAATATTTCAAATAGGATTCTCTGACTTTTCTATGATGATGATAAAAAAGACCGAAGGGAAAGCAGTTAGGGACCATACATGGGAGGAAGCCAGTCAACGGCTCAGCCACTTGGAGGGAACATCTTGGTTGGACAGTGTAACCAAGGGCGCAGTTTGCTGTTGGGATTGAACTGGATGACATGGAGGTGCTCAGCAGGAATGGAACTTTTCCCTCATGACAGAGTGATGGTCTTTATGAAGTATTAGTTGGGCCATATTTTGTCCGACTAATAGATAAAGACTGATGAAGTTGAAGGAGCCATGGAGAGGGTAGAGGAGCCTGATGAGAGTGTGGTCTGACCACTCCCTTTCTGGAAAGAAGCATTTTTCATTCACACCATGGATAGTTCTGCGAGAACTGTCCCAGAGAGCTCTTATTGAGCTTGTTCCTGAGTGAAGTCACCAACTTGTCCGGACCTACAGAAGTTTTCCTCTTTCCCATCTCTTCATTTAGAGGGCGGCCTTCTCCAGGCAGTTTAGATACTGTTGTCCTATGTTCAACATCAGCTTAGGGCTGGGAAATGGAAAATGGAGAAAGGAAGGAAGCAAGGTAGAGAGGTGAAGATTAATTGGTGTTTATACCACAGGGAGATGTTTCATTAGAGCAAAGTTGTATATGGTTTTGGAATTATCCCTGGGCCAAGACAGAGGTAGAAACAATGGGTTTTGAGACATTGATCTGGAGAAAATGAAATAAGTTAATTTTTGCCTTCTCCATTTCTTAGGTAAAGCTGTTTTGGAGTAAATCTAGTGCCAAGCCATCCGAGACGGTCTCTCTCAGGATCTCTGTAACACAGTCTGACTCCATAGTTGGGATTGTAGCTGTTGATAAAAGTGTGAATTTGATGAATGCCTCAAATGATATTACAATAGAAAATGTAAGTTTAACTTTTTTTTTTTTTTGTAAAAAATGTATGTTAGTAACTATTACATTACCTTAAGTATTTAAAGGAAATTCATTAGTCCCTTTGGATAGTAATGGAAAAGCCTTTGAAGAAGAATGCATCTGTGTTCTAGTGTAAGCTGGGCAAAAGCACATGTATATGGGCACATGTTTTAGAATAAAACATGCTTATGTGCTTTAAATTGACTGTCTTTTGGCATCTATTATATTTTTAATACCTGTTATTACCATTTGGATCTTAATTTTGGTTCTTCATAACTAATTATATATATATATTGCTAATGCTTCCTTGCATGCCTTTTGTATATTTACCATGCTTACTCTAAAATTTTTAATTTTTTAAAATATTAATTTACATCTTCTAGTTATAGGATTTTGATGATCAATGTGTTTTCTGAGCACTTTTGGACCCTATGAGTCATGTGTTTGTGTGTCTCTGTGTATATGGTCTTAGAAAGTCAACCTATGACATTGTACCATGCTAGGCAAGCCCTCTGCCACCGAGGTACATGCTGTGGTTATTTGTTGTTGTTGTTATTGTTATTAATTGTTTGTTTGCTTGTTTTTTTCGAGGCAGAGTTTCTTTGTGTGTTCTTGGTTGTTCCCAAACTAGCTCTGTAGACCAGGCTGGCCTCAACCTCACAGAGATCCGCCCACCTCTGCCTCCCTAGTGCTGGGATTAAAAGCCTGCACCGTCACTTTACTATTGCTATTTGAGACAGATTCTTACCATGTACCATAGACTCAGGATTCTCTTGCTTCAGCCTTCCTCAGCACGGGCGGACAGCTGGAAGCCTGTAGGTATCTCAGTAGGTTGGAGAATGCCCTCTCTAGGTAGCTTAGTTGGTGTGAAGCCTTCCCAGGCAACTCAGCTCATCTCTCTTTCTTCCAGGCACCGTTGATGATCTGCCTCTTCCAGGCGACTCGGCTCCTCTCTGAGTCTTCTAAGTGTCTCAGTCTCCTTCCTGCTTGTATCAGTGGTTCTCCACCCTTCATGGGTCAAACAACCCTTTTACACGGGCTGCATATCAGATATCCTGCATAGTAGATATTTACAATTCATAACAGGAGAAAAATTACAGTTATCATGTAGCAGTGAATATAATTTTTTGTTTGGGGGACCAGCACAACATGAGGAACTCTATTAAAGGGTCACAGCATTAGGAAGGTTGAGAACCACTGGCTTGGCTGGAGAGATGGCTCAGCAGTTAAGAGAACCCACTTTATACGTACTTGGGGAGGAAAGGAGCCTAGTGAATCTGATCAGTTTCAGGGACTTCCTAAAGCCTTTGGCTTGCTTATTTCCTGAGCTTAATGAATTTTATGCTAGATGGACTGCTTCATCCCCTGTAGAACGTTCTACTGTGCCTCAAAGAGCTCCCCTAAAAGATGGAAGGTTCATTTCAAAGGAAGTTGCTATACGACATTGGCTTCTCATTGCACCTTGTCACATACTATGGTGAACTAACTCATGTGATGTGAAACATTTCTCTGCTTCTAAAAGAGAAAGTCGAGTCTTTCCTCTTTTCTGGTGATTAGGAGTATTTGGACCAGATGAAGGCTGCTCACTAAGGAAGCTTCCCCTTCATGCCCTGCATCTCCATCCTTCTCATGAGGGCAAACTCTCTTATTCTCCCTATCTCTCTCTCTCTCTCTCTCTCTCATTCCCTATTTACTTATCTATTTATTATTTCTTTAACTATCTTTTTATCTATTTATTTGTTTATTTTGAGACAAGGTCTTTTTATGTGCCCTGGCTCTCCTGGAACTCACTATGTAGAACAGCTTGTCCTCGAACCCAGAGAACCACTTCCCTCTACCTCCTGAGTGCTGAGATTAAAAGTGTGTGCTACCATGCCAGGCTGTTATTCTCAGTCTTAGTGAAGCTACTCTCCAGACTTTTTTATTTTTATTTTTAAATAATTTTATACATTCACTTGTATCCCAGCTGTAGCCCTCTCCCTCTTTCCCTCCCAATTCTCCCCTCCCTCCCTCATTTCCTCCCTGCCCCCTTCTGAGTCCAATGAGAGGGGGTGTCCTCCTTTCCTTCCATCTGGCCCTAGCTTATCAAGTATCTTCAGTATGGTTGCAATGTCCTTATCTGTGGCCTAGCAAGGATGCTCCTCCCTCAGGGGGAGGGGAAGCTCATGAATTCATGTCAGAAAAAATTCCTGTCCCCCTTACTAGGGAACCCGCTTGGATACTGAGCTACCATGGGCTATGTCTGAGCAGAGGCTGTAGGTTATATCCATGCATGGTCCTTGGTTGGATAAACAGTCTCATAGAAGACCCTGTGCTCAGATATATTTGGACCTTGTGGGGCTCCCTGTCCCCTCTAGGATATACTAATTCCTCCTTCTGGCTTTATGAATAAAGCTGCTACAAACATGGTTGAGCAAATGTCCTTGTTGTATACTTGAACATCTTTTGGATATTTGCCTAGGAGTGGTATAGCTGGATCTTGAGGTAGCACTATTCCTAATTGTCTGAGAAAGCGCCAGATTGATTTTCAAAGTGGTTGTACTAGTGGACATTCCCACCAGCAGTGGAAGAAGGTTCCCCTTTCTCCACAGCCTCTCCAGTATGCATTATCTCTTGAGTTTTTGATCTTAGCCATTTGGTGGGTGTAAGGTGAAATCTCAGGGTTGTTTTGATTTGCATCTCTCTGATGGCTAGGGATATTGAACATCTTATGTGTTTCTCTGCCATTCTATATTCTTCTACAGAGAAATCTGTTTAGCTCCATACCCCATTTTTTAATTGGGTTACTTGAATTATTGACTTTTGACTTCTTTAGTTCTTTATATATTCCAGATATCAGTCCTCTGTCAGATGTTGGGTTGGTGAAGATCCTTTCCCAATCTGTAGGTTGTCGTTTTGTTCTAATGACTGTCTTTTGCTTTACAGAAGCTTTTCAGTTTCATGAGGTCCTATTTATTGATTGTTGCTCTTAGGGCCTGTGCTGATGGTGTTCTGTTCAGGAACTTGTCTCCTGTGCCAATGAGTTCTAGGGTCTTCCCCACTTTTTCTTCTAACTGATTTAGAGTATCTGGTTTCATATTGAGGTCTTTGATCCACTTGGACTTTAGTTTTGTGCAGGGTGATAAATACGGATCTGTTTTCATTTTTCTGCATGCAGACATCCAGTTGGACCAGCACCATTTGTTGAAGATGCTGTCTTTTTTCCATTGAATGGTTTTGGCTTCTTTGTCAAAAATCAAGTATTCATAGGTGTGTGGGTTTATTTTTGGGTCTTCTATTCGGTTCCATTGATCCACCTTTCTGTTTCTATGCCAATACCATACAGTTTTTATTATTATTGCTCTGTAGTACAACTTGAGATCAGGGGTGGAGAAACCTCCAGAGGATCTGTTGTTGTACAGTATTGTTTTGGAAATCCTGGGTTGTTTGTTTCTCCATATGAAGTTGAGAATTTTTCTTTTAAGGTCTGTAAAGAATTCTGTTGGTATTTTGATGGGAATTGCATTGAAACTGTAGATTGCTTTTGGCAGAATGGCCATTTTTACTATGTTAATCCTACTGATCCATGAGCACGGGATATCTTTCCATCTTCTGATGTCTTCTTTGATTTCTTTCTTCAGAGACTTGAAGTTTTTTTCAAACAGGTCTTTCACCTGCTTGGTTGTACTCTCCAGGATTTAAAGCTAAACCTCTTCTTCCCTTTAAGGCCCTGTCGTGTTTAGATATGTCCATATATTGTATTGTTTCTGTCTAATGCTGTTCTTATTACCTTGAGGCAAATCATGGCCTTGAGGACATTTCTCTATAATAAACGTCATCCTTGAAGGGAATTTATGTGTCAAGTCCCTGGCTCCTCACCAGGGGGAAAAACACGGGGGCCTCCTTTTATTTTTTTTTAACAAAGACATAGTTTGTGCTGTAATTCCAGGGTTTTTTAGAAAGAAGTAGGAGATGGAGGCTTAGGGGCTGTAAAATTATCCTTGCTCCTCAAGGTTTCCTGCTTTTATTAAGTTCACCCTTAAGCATTTAAGAAAAACCAGCACCGAGTCTCCAGGTGTTATGACCCACCAGCCTGGAGCGTCTGGAGAATGGAGGAAATGTGGATGTTTGAGGACTGTTTCCCTTACTTTCTCACACCCCAGGGTAGAGAAATGCTGAACTGATATCCTCAGGATTCCTGAATGCTGCTGTGGTTGCAGATTTCAACAAGGAAGTACCCGAGGCAGCTCCATCTCCCCAAGTGAGAACAGAAATTAAAAGCCTTTCTTCCAGGCTGCAGTCTCCTGACTGCTGCTCTAGCTGTCTTCTGCCCAGTGTCAACCCGCACACTGCCATCCACCACCAACTCAAGACACTTTCCACTCTTTGTTTACATTCCACTCATTCAGGTTTCCTGTTTGCTTTTGTTGTTTTTCCAGAGTTGACTCTAAAGTGGGGCATCAGTTTTCCTGACTTTCCCATGCTGCAGTGTGCAGTTCTGTACGTCAGAACCCTTTCTCATCCTATCGCTGGTATCCACTATACGTGTATGCCGCATTTTGTTTAACCCTCTAAACTTTTGGCTGCTGTGAACGCTGGTGAACACTGGTGTAGAGGCCCCCCTGAGTCTTTGCTTTCAGTTCCTTTGAGTGTGTATCTCAGTTTAGAATTGCAGGGTAAGATTCTGGTTCCATGTTTACCCTTTTGAGGAAAAGAGAAAGAAATTTTATCAATCATTTTAGTCTATTTTATCCATTTTTATATTGTTTTTTTTTCTGCTTCTTTCTTTTTTTTTTCTTTATTAATTGCACTTTATTCACATTGTATCCCCCCTGTGGTTCTCTCCTTCCTCCTGTCCCAATCCCTGTCCCAATCTCCTTCCTCCAATCCCTCCCTTCCTCCACTCCTTGAATGCATGCCCCTCCCCAAGTCCACTGATAGGGGAGGACTTCTTTTCCTTCCTTCTGATCCTAGTCAATTAGTTCTCATCAGGAGTGGCTGCAGTGTCTTCTTCTGTGGCCTGGTAATGCTGCTTCCCCCTCAGGGGGAGGTAATTAAAGAGCAGGCCAATCAGTTCATGTCAGAGACAGTCCCTGTTTCTATTACAATGGAACACACTTGGATATTGAACTGCCATGGGCTACATCTGTGCAGGGGTCTTAGGTTATCTCCATGCATAGTCCTGGGTTGGAATATCAGTCTCAGGAAAGACCCCTTTGCTCAGATTTTTTGGTTCTGTTGCTCTCCTTGTGGAGTTCCTGTCCTCTCCAGATCTTACTGTTTCCCACTTCTTTCCTAAGATTCCCTGCACTCTGCCCAAAGTTTGGCTATAAGTCTCAGCATCTGCATTGATAGTCTGCAGGGCAGAGCTTTTCAGAGGTCCTCTGTGTCAGGCTCCTGACTTGTTCCCTCTTTTCTCCTTCTTCTGATAGGATACTTAAAAACAATTGCATTGCTTAAGTGATGTAATCAAATATCTCATTATTAAAAAAGAACTCTTCCTGTGCAATTCTAATGCTTTGATTACCAGTGAAGCTGGGTATTTTTTGAATATTAAAAATATAATCATGCTTTTGTGAATTTAAGTGACTGTCTACTTATATAATTTGTGTCAGCTCTCTCTACATTAGCCTGTTTGTGTCTGCTAAAAGTATGGATAAATTTTGATGCTGACCTCTATGTGTTGAGTGTGCCAGTGACATTTCAGTTTCTTTCAGGAAAACTTCATGTCTATATTTATAAGAAACTCTGTATCACTGAGCAGAGCAAACATAATTTTAAATAAGAAACATAATTGTGGGTGACTGAATAATAAACAATCATTCATATATTCATGGTACCTGGATTTGTGCCATTTTCAATTTCAGTAACACTGGGACTGTATACTGAATGACTTCTAAGAGGTGGGCGGGGGCAGGATAGGCTGATAAGAATCAGTTCACTCTGTGTCTTATCTTTCGTGCAGCTGGTCCATGAACTGGAACTTTATAACACAGGATATTATCTAGGCATGTTCATGAACTCCTTCGCTGTCTTCCAGGTATGTGTAGTTGGTTAAATAATCTGAAAGGATATTCGTGACTTTTACTATTATACTCACTTTCATAATTAATTATCACACTGAAGACTAACCTCTGTTGGAGGTGTGACTGAAGTTTACTGTTCTATAAATTTAATCTGAGTGGAGAAATATATCCTTTTGGTTTTAAAAGCAAATGGAGAAAAGTCACTGATTCTCCATTAGATCAGTGGAATTGTCACTAAACATACTTTTCTTTTAAATTACTATATTTGACCTTGAAAAGGATATTTTTATGAATGTGCATGAGAGAAAAAGGGAGGAGGGAAAGACACACACACACACACACACACACACACACACACACACACACACACA